TTTTATTTCCCAACTATTCTTTTTCATGGTATAAGGATAAAACTCTTACTGGCGAGATCTATATTTTTTGGACTATTCATAAGATTACTTTTTTTTTCTGTGCTAGCAAAATGAAACTGTGTTTTTGTGTAGAATTTATTTAGACTCGGAGCAGCTGGCTCTTTTGGTGTCCTGATAGTTTTAAATTTTACTTGGAGGGGGAGAGACTCTTCCACTGGAAGTTCAGTAAAAACTTTGTCCCGGGCCTCACAGGAAATGGTCTCGAAGCCCACCCCCCTCCAAGGAATGGGGAGTCGCTGAGCTGGGGGAGGAGACCTCCAGCCCCCTCCCCTGCCCCCGACGCATCCCACGGGGCCTTGAGTCCCTGCCCGGCAGTGAGGAGGTCCTGGTGACCGGGATGGAGGCCTCCCCCCCTTGCTCGGTCAGCGCGGACAGTAGGACGGCAGCAGTGGGTGCCCATGGCATCCTATCGCGAATCTAGGAAAAGTCAGAAGTTGGGGAATGTAGGTGTGTTTCCAGACTGGACGGTGTACAAGGGCCTCCACCTGTCCAGCTTTGGTACCGACCTGCGGCCACCCTCTGCGGTCGGTCAGCTGCACCTGCTCAGCTGGTGGGGGCGTGGTGTCTCCTGCTGCACCGTGGGCACAGGCCACAATCCGAGTGTGGACGTACTTTTATCCACGAGAAGTGCTTTTTGCTCCTGGCGAGAGGGTTGGATGAGTTGTGCCTGGAACTCAGAAGGCCCCGCTGGGCTGCCCGAAGGCTGGGGCCGGGACAGTGGCCATGGCCACCCTGTGCTGGCACCCGGCCACTTCACGTGGGTGTCTCAGCTGCCACATGCCAGGGCTGAGCTGGGCAGTGGGAAACCACAAAGTACCGTGGGTAGCGGTGGCCGTGTGGGGCAGGTCGCGTGCCTGTCAGACTGGTGGCCTGGATGCTGACTGACTCCGTGGCAGGGCCTGTGCACGAGCAGTGTGACCCCAGAGGGGATATGTGTCCCCACGCCTGGGGCTGGGGACATCTCCCTCCTTTGGGAGGACCCCAGCCCTGGAAGGTGTCAGGGCTGCGGTTGGGCCTGGTCCATTCTCAGCGGGACGAGCGCCCCCCAGGCCTCACGGTGAAGCATTTCTGTGTATTTGCGGAGCGGACAGTGGGGTGCCGTGCCGCTCCCCCAGCACAGAGCTACTACACACCTGCCTGTGCTCACACACACACACACTCACACTCACACACACCTGTGTCCACAGCTGCGAGGGGCTTTCCTCTCCCCGAACTCTGGACCCTGCCTCTCAGGAGCCTTTTCGTTGCTTCCCTGTGGTTGGTGGCCTTGCCCGCGGGGCCCCCTGCAGCTGTTCCCGAACTGACGGAGACCAGCACTTGGACGCCGGGTGGGCAGAGACTGCAGAGACCGGGGCCGCGCCAGGGCGGTGAGTCCCAGGCTGGGGGCCAGCTCACCCCGCCTCGGCTGCGTCGGCCCAGGGACAGCACGCCGGTCCCCTGCTTGTCCCAGGAACCCACGCTTCTTGCCCGGCTCTGAGTCTGGTGGCTGCCTGGGTGGGGCTGACCCAGTGAGTGTACCTGCCCGCGGCCCCATGGGTGGCAGCTCCCACAGAGGGGACTGAGATGACCGTCGTGCGGGTCTGCCCCATGGGGGGGCGCTCTGCACATTGAGGCCGCACTCCCGGGTCATCTCCTGGTGGGCCGGCCAGCTCCGTGGGACCCTGAGTCCTCCCATGGGCCCCATGATGGCTGGTCTCCGTCTCCTGCTGCCCGTGGGTATGTGGTCTTTGGGCACGTGGACTGATAGACCTGGGGGGGGGGGGAGCAGGCGTCTCCCTTGGCCCTTTCTGGGCCCCCGGTGGGAGCCAGAGGCCCTTCCGACTCTGACACATTTGGACTGCAGGTGTCCACAGACCTATGTGGAGCTGAGTTTGGGACCCGTGAGGTTGGGGCTCCCCCTTTTTTAATATGTTAACATTGATTTGAGCAAGAGGAAGGGAGGAAAGAGGGGGAGAGAAGCATTGATCTGTCGCTCCTCTTATTGATGGGCCATCAGTTGGTTCCCGAATGTGCCCCGACTGGAGACAGACCCGGCAACCTTGGAGTATCAGGGTGTCTCTCTCGCCAACTGAGCCACCCGGCCAGGGCAGGGCCGTGTCTCTAAGGTCTGTTCACTCATTCGCCCATTTGGTGGACAAATACCGAACCCCCGAGACTGCGTCTGTGACCCAGGCAGCCGGGACCCTGCCCGCACGGAGAAGGGGGGACGCCTGGCCTCCCCCCACCTGGTGCTAAGGACTGTGAGGCGCAGAGTCAGTGGGTGCTCTAGAGAGAGGCTGGACATCTGCCCCAGACAAGGGCGCACGGAAGGCCTTGTGGGCGGGGCTGTGTGACCTGAGACCTGCGCGAGGAGAAGCCTTCGCACATTCTAGAACATTCTGTGCTTGGCACTGACACTTGAACGGTTGCTTGAAGGCTTTTTAAAAAAAGCCTTGTTGCTTGAAAAACACTTTTTAGCAGTGAAAGAATTTCGTGCCCAAACCTAACTTGAAGGCTCATGTCCATCATTTGACCCACTGAGCCTCCCCTCTTGCTGCGTGCGTGGGGGAGGCGGGTGGCCTTCCCCTCTCAGGCCTGAGCTGCAGGCCTGCGGGGTTGCACGTCCAGCCGCCTGGTCCCCCCTGCTGAGTTGGCCACAGCCTGTAAGTGACCCGTCCTCCTGGACTCATGGCTTCTGAGCTGGCCCACTGGGCAGCCTTTGGAAGTGCTGAACTTCCAGAGCTGTTGGTGGGACTCGGAGCCCCCACGTGGCTTTAGGGCCATGATCTACGTTTGCTCAGGAGAGGAGCCAGCCCAGCTGGAGGGGCTTGGAGGTGGAGAAGGGGCTCCAGACATGGCCCCAGGGCTGCTGTCCCCCTGGGCCTGTCCCCCTGCGCTGGCCAGTGGGCGCCGGAGCTGGCCAGCCCTGCCTTCAGGTGTCAGCCACAGGGCCTGGCGCCCTGTGGGCTCCCGACAAGCTTGTGGAGTGAGTGCAAGGATCTCCAAGAGAAACGACTCCTTTCTGACCGGTCTCCAAAGTGGACCTCTCAAATCTGGCTGCCACCAGAGACAGCAGGTAAAAACGGCCAATTGGGAGGCTTCTTCGATGGCAGGTGCCCCTGTGCCGTGTGTGTGAGTGTGGCCAGCTGTCCTGCTGCCATCTGCCATGGACACTGTGGCCTGCAGCAAGGCCTTGATTTCTCTCTGCCCTGGAAACAGTCACCGGGTCAGCCTCCCCCCTCCCATGCACGGTGGACCCCGGCCCCCTGCTCTGGCCAGGGAAGCCAGCACCCCACTGGAGACCCTCCACACCATGTGCAGTCTGCCTGGCAGGAAGTACAGCGGGCAACAGACCCGGCCGGTGCTGAATGCGCTTCGTCCACCCTTGAGCTTGGGCCCTGGGGTCCCCCGGGGAATTGTGTGGCCCAGGAATCAGTCCCGGCTGGGGTGAAGGGCCGGCCCGGCCCACCTGGCCTGCTGAGACGGCCGCACGCTGGGCTGCGCAGAGGACGGACGCGCGGCATCTTTCCGACGGCAAGAAGCAGACCTGGGCTCCCCGGGGGTAGAAGAGGCTTCGGAAGTAGCAGGCCCCAGGCCTGGGTTTCCGGACTTTCTGAGGGGAGTTCCCCACGTGCTGAGAGGTGGAGAGGTGGCTCACGGCACCCCGCCCCGAGTGGCCGGGCTGTTTTCCGACAGCTGGAGGGGACAGTGAGGACCATTACGGACAATTACACGCACGGACCAGCTCAGAGCGCCTGTGTTTAACAAACAGCTTTGAGTTCTAATTTTCTGCCGAGCACATTCTGCAGGTCCAATTTGTACTCATTACTGTGTATTGGGAAAGTTATTAAAGACACTCCGACTTGGTGAGACTTCTTAGGACACTGTCCCTGGACTTTAATTGGTCTTTACCCAGTTCCTTAAGAGATCTCTTTAAGTCCCAATGAAAGTCCTGGCCTCAGGTGTCACTCCGGGGGGAAGGACAGGGGCAGAGGCCTCCTCCTGCGGCGGACGCCCTCAGCCCTGTCCCCGCCCAGATCTGGACCCTTGGGATAATGCCCCACGATTCTGTCGGGAGATAATTTCTACCTCTGTTGATGGGCGCAGTTGCCAAATGATAGAATAACAGTGTTTCGTAACATAAGGGTTAAATCTTAATCTCCGAGGTTTGCAAAGCTGCTACTCGCAGTCTCCTTAAAATTTAATATACCTCGTTAATGCGTCCTCGCAAACACTGAAGGATTTTTATGATTATAATCATGTGTTACAGCACCTAGTACTGTTCCTAAGCAGCATACTAATCAGCTTAATGAGATATTACTGCACTTTTTGTTGACTAAAGCAAAATCCCTTTTATTGTTCCAAAGCCTGTCCTTTACTTTATTTTTTCCCAAAACATTATCTTGTTTTATGACGTATCAGTAAATATCATGCCATTGGGTTCTTTTCTTTTTTTTTTTGTTGGCCAAAACATAAAATAATCTCTTTCATCTCCCAGTGGTGAATGTGTCAAATGTGGGTTCCAGAAACAAAAGTTCCAAGTGAGGGTGTTGGCAGTGACAGCCGTTCCGCTCCAAGGCCAGCTTCCCACCCAGCCCACAGGGGTGGGTGCAGGAGGTGGGGGGCGGGGAGGGCTGGGACGGCCACCACATACACCCGGGGTTTGCTCTAAGGTGTTGCAAGTGGTAAAACATTAATAATTTAAGTGTGAATGAATAATTGCAGTCAGCAAATAGAAAATACAAGGAAGACGATCTATCCCCAAAACAAATTGGAGGGCCCAAGCCATATTGCATAATTGGCATTTAATAATTCATTTTTTTATTATTGTTTTCGACTGTAATTCCTCGGCCTTACCAGGCGTAGGTGAGGCGGGACGTGCCAGCGCCGCACCCCGCCGAGGCTGGGGCTTCCCCGCGCCTGGTTCCGGGCCCAGATCTGAACTCTCTCTCCCTTTGCAGGGATGGAAGAAGCCAGCCTGTGCCTGGGCGTGTCCTCGGGGGCGGCGGACGCGGAGCCCCGCCGGAGCGGCCCCGTCCTCAACGGCCAGTATGCCATGAGCCAGAAGCTGCACCAGATCACCGCCCAGCTCAGCCATGCCTTCCCCGAGCTGCACCCGCGGCCCAGCCCGGAGGACAAGCCGCCGGCGGCCCTGGACGACAAGGCCCACGTGCCCATGAGTGGCCAGCCCATGGGCAGCCCGATGGCGCTGCTGGCCAGCCCGCTGGGCCGGGACGTGGACACCAGCCTCAACGGGCGCGTCGACCTGCAGCAGTTCCTCAACGGGCAGAACCTGGGCATCATGTCGCAGATGAGCGACATCGAGGACGACGCACGCAAAAACCGCAAGTACCCGTGCCCGCTGTGCGGCAAGCGCTTCCGCTTCAACAGCATCCTGTCCCTGCACATGCGCACGCACACGGGCGAGAAGCCCTTCAAGTGCCCCTACTGCGACCACCGGGCGGCGCAGAAGGGCAACCTCAAGATCCACCTGCGCACCCACAAGCTGGGCAACCTCGGCAAGGGGCGCGGGCGCGTGCGCGAGGAGAACCGCCTGCTGCACGAGCTGGAGGAGCGCGCCATCCTGCGCGACAAGCAGCTGAGGAGCGGCCTGCCGCCGCCGCGGCCCGACCTCAAGCCCCCGCCGCACACGCAGCCCGCGCCGCCCGCCGCCGCCTGCCACCTGGCGCTGCCTGCCGCGCCTGACGCTGCGCGGCCCACGCCCTCGCCCAAGCCAGCGGGCGGCGCTCAGGAGGACGCGGCGGCCCCTGCGGCGGGCTTCCGCTGCACCTTCTGCAAGGGCAAGTTCAAGAAGCGCGAGGAGCTGGACCGCCACATCCGCATCCTGCACAAGCCCTACAAGTGCACGCTGTGCGACTTCGCCGCCTCGCAGGAGGAGGAGCTCATCAGCCACGTGGAGAAGGCGCACATCACGGCGGAGTCTGCGCAGGGCCAGGGCCCCGGCGGCGGCGGCGAGCAGGCGGCCAACGAGTTCCGCTGCGAGGTGTGCGGGCAGGTGTTCAGCCAGGCCTGGTTCCTCAAAGGCCACATGCGCAAGCACAAGGACTCGTTCGAGCACTGCTGCCAGATCTGCGGCCGCCGCTTCAAGGAGCCCTGGTTCCTCAAGAACCACATGAAGGTCCACCTCAACAAGCTGTCGGTGAAGAACAAGGGCCCCAGTGACGCGGAGGGGCCGGCCCCGCTGGGCGGCCTGTCCCAGGAGACCCACGCCAACCTGTACTCCAGGTACCTGTCCTGCCTGCAGGGCGGCTTCATGGCCCCGGACAAGGCCGGCCTGAGTGAGCCGGGCCAGCTGTACGGCAAGGGGGAGCTGCCCTTGAAGGAGAAGGAGGCCCTGGGCAAGCTGCTGTCCCCCCTGGCCAGCGTGGCCCACGGCGTCTCCGAGGGCGACAAGCACTCCCTCCTGGGCTGCCTGAACCTGGTGCCGCCGCTGAAGTCCAGCTGCATCGAGCGCTTGCAGGCGGCGGCCAAAGCCGCGGAGATGGACCCGGTGAACAGTTACCAAGCCTGGCAGCTCATGGCCAGGGGCGTGGCCGTGGACCGTGGCTTCCTGTCTAAAGAGCAGCCGCTGCCCCGCGGCCAGGAGGACGCGCTGGCCCACGTGGGGGTCGCCTTCGACAAGGAGAAGCGCGAGTACGTGTTTGTGGGGGCAGACGGCTCCAAGCAGAAGATGCCCGCGGATCTGGTCCACGGCGCGAAAGTGGCCAGTCAGAGAGACCTGCCAGGGAAGCTGGACCCCTCGGACGGCGGCCGGGAGTTCCTGCCGCACGGGCTGAGCCCGGCGCTGGACTACGCCCCGCAGGGCCCCGGCGGCGGGATGAAGGAGAAGCCCACGGAGTGCCCCGACTGCGGCCGCGTCTTCCGCACCTACCACCAGGTGGTGGTGCACTCCCGCGTGCACAAGCGGGACCGCAGGGCCGAGGAGGACGGGCTGCACGCGGGCCTGGAGGAGCGGCGGGGCTCGGGCAGCGACCAGGAGTCCCAGTCGGTGAGCCGCTCTACCACGCCGGGCTCCTCCAACGTCACCGAGGAGAGCGGGGTCGGCGGCGGGCTCTCCCAGACGGGCAGTGCGCAGGAGGACAGCCCGCACCCCTCCTCGCCATCCTCCTCAGGTGGGTTGCTGGGGCGGGTGGGGAGGGGCCGCCCACGAGGGCGCTGCAGGCCCAGGTGCTGCTTGGTGGGGGGTGGGGGGCAGGCCTTTGCTGCTCTTCAAGGTCTGGTCCAAGGTCAACTGGCTGGTTGGTGTCAGAGGTTCTGGCCTTTTTGCCCTGCCTCAGACGAAGGCTGTGCTTCTGTCTCATTGGCCTTGCCTTGAGCACCCGCTCCTGGGAAAGTCAGCTGGCCCTCCTGTGCGGTGGGCACAGTTCCCCATGGGGTGCGCCCACCCTTCCCTGTAAGTGCCTGCGAGAGCTACGTGGTGCCCTCACCCACAGGCCATCCCCTCCAGCCCAGAGCCTGGGAGCCGGCGTCCCACCCCATTCCTGGGGGATGGGAAGCTGTAAGTTCAGACCTGCACTTTCCGCACCAAGTACCTTCCCGTGGTCCCCTCAGGTGGGCACCTGGGCCGCCCTCCCGAGATCACACCCGTGCAGGGTTCCCGTCCACAATGACGGCTCGGCTGCCTGGCCGGGGTCCTCTGTGGGTTTGGGAGGGCCCGGAGCTGCGACACCCAGATGCGCGGGACTGCCTGTCTTAAAATGCGCTGCGTTCCAGGGGCGATATTCAGCTTTGGGATCTAAAATAGCAAAGCAGAAAATCTGTCATCACAATGTCTGGGAAACGCTGACGCTTCCTGGCCCCATTTGGGGGAGAAAAAAAAACACACAACACCTCACTAGCCGAAGACGGTGAAATGAAGTTGCCACGTAGCAGCAGGTGCGCCGCTGCCGCCGTCCCTGCCGGCAGAGCCCCTACTAAGGGACGGCGAAGGGGCAGTTCCATCCCCGACCCTTCATCTCGCTGATGCCGTCATCGCCCTGTAGCCGGACGACAGAGGAAGTCGTGCCGTAAAAAATGCCTTGTAACTAATGGCAACATCGATTCCCAAGACCAGCCATTAAGTCTCGAACGTGGAAGACGGTTCCAGGCACCTCAAGACCCCGGCCGCCTGGTCCACGGGCACACAGAGGAGGGTCCTTGGCAGAAAGTTCTGCCTCTCGTTCCCTGGTGTCTCCCCCCTTCAGGGTTGCGGCAGCTATTTCGGGACGGGAGGCGTTTGGCGGCGGCAGCTATTAAGTGGATGGCGGCTTCGCCCTGTTGTTACTGTCATGCTTCAGTATAACCCTTCTTCTCGGGCGAAATTAGTATGAAAATAAAGTGGGAGCCTGCTGGCTTATTACAGACCAGTAAAGAATGGTTAAGACATAAATCTGAGCCGCACATTCCAGAGATTCCGATAGCACTTAATGCCGCTGCTTAAATACCCATGAAACACGCTGTCTGCTCCGCGGTGCTGGACGCGGGCGTGATTTATCTCTGGGGCGAAGTCTGAGGAGTCGCGCAGGGCCCAGAGCTCCTGGGAAGGTGCGGCCCCGCCTTGTAGTGACCGCTTTCCGAGCTCACTGCCTGGGGGTGCCGGGGACTGGTGCACAGGTGTCCCTCCGTCACCGGGGCTGTTTCCGGCCTCCCGTGAAGAGGTTCCCTGTCTGGGGGCTGCGGTCTCGCTGCTCCGGGATGGGGGACCTTCCAGGGGCCGAGCGCAGAGCGCGCCCCGGCTCTCCTGAGTGGGAGGCGTGCGCGCTGACAGATTGCCAGTCCGTCCCAGCCTGCTGACACGCGGGGGGCTTGCGGAATATTCCGACACCACATGCTCGGCTCTATTTCTGTCGTGTTCCCGTGTTTTTCTCACCTTCTGGCCGAGTGGTAGCCTCATACCGCTCCTCCCCGTTGTTTGTGTGTCTCTAAATACTCTCGGAAAAAAGGAGAAAAGCCCGAAAGAACCCACGGGCCTGTGGGCTCGGAGGAGAGCCGCACTTGAGCCGGGGTGGTCGCCTCACTTTTCTGTCCCCCGTGGGACTGTGCACTGTTGTGGAGGCCGCGTTCTTCACTTCTGGTTGACTTCTTTGTTTTCTTCATATTCAAATGAGACCCTTTCATAATTTTCTGGCCGAGGAGCAGAATCGGCAAGCCTACCATCCGCAGGGCCGGAGCCAGCTCCCCGGCGGGGCGGGTCTGCCGGGGATTAGCGCCCTGACTTAACCCCATCGGGTTCGTCTTCCCTGGTACCCCGACGGGGGGGACTCGGACACAGCGGGGTTAGCATACCCATTTAAATAAAAGTTGTGGCACAGTGTGTATTTTGTGATTACCTGTTACGGAGAAAACCCCCAAGGTGAAGGGGAGGGAAAAAACCTTTAAGCCTTTAAGGAGAGAAAGCAGTTTTATTAAGGCTTCTGTTAAGAAGTGAGTGCCTGCTACAGCGCCACACATTTCTCAGACAGCATAACAATGTCGCAAAACTTCATTTCCATCACTCGATTCTTTTCTTGTTGAGAACTGGGTCAGTAGGGCCTGAGAAACTATTTTTTCAGATCGTAACCAGTGAATTCTTCTTTATAAATCGCTGCTCTTAACATGATAGTAGTTCTGAATTCATCATAAAAACCCTTTTTACAGAGAGCCTCTTAGAGCCGATCTCCAGAAGAAGGCTCACAATGAGCAGAGAGGCAGCCTTTGTTATCTGATGCGGTTCTTTGCGAGGACTGGGAGCAGAGCCGCTGTGTAAAAATGTCTTGCTCAGACCGAGACGCAGAAAGGGTCAAGTTTGCAATCAAACAGTTATTGCCGAGATGGGCGGCTGCCACTGGCCAGGCTAATGTGGGTGCAGCTGTTTGTTATGTGAGCAAAAGAATGTTTGAATCAGTGAGCATGTGAAAATGATCGCAGTGAACCAGAAAATATGTTTGTTCTCGGGCTCTCCAAACCGCTGAGAACCGAGCTTTGGAGCGACGGCGAGAGCCAGGCCCTCTGACCAGTGGAGGGATCGCGGTTCCCACTGAAAATGGACAAAGGCCCTTCCCGGCCTCTCCCCGCTCTCCCTGCTGTTGTTGCCGTGGGTGGTGCGGCTCAGCGATCGTCCCACACCCGCCGTGGACGTCTGAGGCGAAGGGCAGTGATTTGGAGGTGGCAGTTTCTCAGTTCCACTCTTTCGTGACAGTGACGGCGTGGGTGGCTGTGTTGGGGTCCCCCTCACTGCTGTCTGGGGTGCCCATGCACTGAGGGCACCCTGAAACCTCAGCCGAGCCCCTGCTGGCGCCCGAGTGCCACTCGGAACCCGACGGCAGCCCAGCTCCGGTGTCTTTCAGTTTGTCTCTGGACAGTGCGCTCGGAAGAATTAAAACTTAGTGTACTAACAAACAGTACTGCCTGTCACCTGCAACAGGGCGGTTCCCGTCCGCTGAGGGGGTGGCTGACGGGGACCTCGACCCCCCGTTCACTAGAGAAGGCTGGCCAGGCTCTGTGGGCAGCGGAGGGCCAGGGAGAGGTGCAGAGATGAAAATGTCCTTAACTCCCGGTGCGGCCGGTGAGGATTCTGAGGTGGACGAGGACTGTTTGGTCAGCTGGGCTGGAGCCCAGCGGGTCCCCCACATGGGCCGAGCTTCATGCCTGCCACGCCAGGCCCGTCCTGGGCAGGCCCTTCGACCTCAGCCTGGGGGGCCCGCATCTGGGGCTCCCTTGATGTACAAGGACCGGGGAAGTGGTAGGACAGATCTCCTTTTTTTCCACCTCTTTTTCTTGCATGGCGCCTCCTCCCTGCCCATCGCCTACTCCACACAAACAAATCCAGGCCCCCGAAGACGGGGTAAAAAAGAAAAAAAGAAAAAAGAAAAAAAGGAAAAATTTAAGTCTGAGGATTAAGATCTTCATTTTTTTTTTGCTTGTGCATTCCAATTGTTCTTAAAATATTTGGCAATGTCAATTAGTAACTGAGCAGAGTTAGCTGATGAACACAATTTTCCAGTAGACTGAGCACCCTATTGTTGCCGAGCGAACAGCAGATTTCTGAGGTCATTATCATTCGCTGGTTGCTTGGCCCAGCTGCTTCCTGCAGCAAAAGCCAAACTTTCTGCTGGAGCCGGGGGATGCGGCAGCAACAGGGGGCCGGGGGCGCGGGCTGGCAGCCGGGCCCGGCCCCGCCTGGGCGCAGGGGGAGGAAGTGGAAGTTCCCCAGGTGGTTCCAGGGAAGCTGCCCCCTCAGCCTTCTCCCTCCAAGCGCCTCCCCGCAGCCCCCGCGGGGCATTCAAGGGCCAGGGGACCCCCTCGGGCACGGCGGAGACTCATCTCGCCGCTCAGCAGAGCTTTGGAAAACAGCAACCGCTGACAAATGTACTTAAAAACTGTTAACCCAGCCGAGGGCCCGGCAGTGCTTTCCCATAGATAGACTTCTTTATTTTTATTAAAAACAGAAAAGAAAAGGAAAAAACCGAGTTATTTTTTAAGAGATAAAATTAGTAACTTCAAATCACTCCACTGGGGATGACTTCATTTTCCCGAGGGACCTTCCGAGCGGACACTGGTCTGAAATTCTCGGGGAGCCCAATGTGGGGGGAAGGCCCCTGCCCGTCCTGGCCCCTCCCCGCCCCGACTGGGGAGCCAGGTCAGGGAGGTGAAAAGCACTTTTTTGAAGCTCAGCTGTGGGACCCGAGCACCCGGAGCAGCCCCTCCGTTCCGCCGGTGTGGTCCCCTGTGCTAGTGGCCCATGTTTGTGGGGGGGGTGCAGCGTGGGGGGCTGGGCCCAGGCCGCCGCTGGCCAGCTGACTCCTGGGGAGGGTCGGGTGGGGACCGGTCAGCAGGCCAGGGGACCCCCTCTGGGCTGCAGGCGGTCTGTCCGCTGGGGCGCAGGCTGCCCCTGGGCTCTAGGTGCCCACCTGCCTGGTCACACCTTCCTGGGAGCTGGATGCTGACCAGCGGCTCCTTCGGGAGCTGCCATTGGCTGGTGCACTGGGGCAGCTCCGAAGTGGTTGCCGGGGACACTGAGGGTCCCCTCGGGGCTGTGAGCCCGGGCCACTGTCACTCAGTGGAGAGGCGTGGCCCTGGCTCTAGTCTTCGCCCCTGAGCACGCTACGAGCTGGGTGACACGGAGTCCTGTGTCACCGCTCCACCCCGTGCATCC